AAGGAGGGGGCCTCAGTTGAGAAAATGCCCAAGAAGATTGGGCTATAGGCAAGCCTGTGGGGCATTTTCTTTTTCAGTGATTGATGTGCGAGGGCTCAGCCCATTTTGGGTGGGGCTACCCCTGGACTGGTTGTCCTAGGTGGTATAAGAAAGCAGACTGAGCAAACCATGCTAAACAAGCCAGAAAGCAGCACCCTTCCATGGCCTCTGCATCAGCTCCTCTGTTGTTCAGAGTCCTTTCTTCCCCAAGTTGTTTTGGTCATAGTGTTCAATCATAGTAATAGTAACCCTAAGACTATTCCTAGAATGTATTCATTCTAAACTAAAACTTGTGCCCATTAAATAACCCCTAACTCTTTTATCTGCTAGTCCTAGTAGCCACTCTCCTACTTTCTGTCCCTACAGTGATTTTCTGTATATAAGTGTATAGTACATATTTTTTTTTGAAATTTTGATGATCAGACCCAGGGCTTTGCATGCCAGTGCTGTTCTACTGCTGTGCTACATTCCCAGCTTTCATAACACGCTACAAATATGCATGCATGCCCACACGCACAAGTACACACACAGATAAACATCCACACGGAAAAGCACACACATACCTCATATAGTTGTTTGAGCATTGCTTGCATTTCTTATGAAGTAGAATTGCTGGATCATAGTCTAGTGTAATTCTGTGTTTAGTTTTTTAGGGAACTGCCACTTTGCTTTCCATACCATATTACAGTCTCATCAATACTGCACGCGAGTTCCTTCTTTATAGCTTGCCAAAGCTTAATTTCAATTTTTAAAATTATTATCATCTTAATAGATGTAAATCAGTATCATTTTTGCATTTCCTTAATGATGCTGAACATTGGTTCATAAGCAAGTTATTTTCTTTGAAGAAATGTCCCATTTTAAACTTTTTTTGTCTTTTTGAGTTCAAGTGAGATATTTCTTTAGCATAAACTTACTGATTCTTTTTATATCTTTCATAGCTTAATTTTCATTTATGTTTTATTCTCTTGATGGAGTTTACTTCTCTACATCTTTCTGAGAAAGAGCACATTGGATGTAATGTTTTTTTGAGAACACACAAATCTAAAAAATATTTTTATTTTTATAATTAATTGATAATTACCTGGGCATGGTATTCTAGATTTTTTAAAAATCACCTTCCCTTAGTATATTGAAGGGGTTGCAGCAGTCAGGCAACTTAGCCTAGCTCTGATGTCAATAACTTGAGCAGCTCTCTGTTCTTAGTAACCACTCAGGCAAGGTTCATTCTTGACTAAGCCACAGAAAAAAAAATTTCAGAGTCAGACTGAAGCAGAATTAGCTATCTTATTAAGGATTTATGCCAGGCGGTGTTGGCACACCCTTTAATTCCAGTACTCATGGGGCAGAACTCTGTGAGTTTGAGCACAGTATGGTCTGCAGAGGATGTTCCAGGAGATCCAGAGTCCATAGTGGTTACACAGAGAAACCTTGTAACCCTGTTTCAACAAAAAGAAAGAAAGAAATTATAACAGGGACAGATGCTAGGGAAAAGACAGTAGTATACACTGAAGGCATATTGGCTTCTCAAGGTATGTTTATGACTTTCTAATTTACACTGCTCAAAGGACAAAATTTACAAGATATAAACATTAAGGAAAGTTTAAAATTTGAGTTAAAAATAAAAGATGGTTTACTTAGTTCTCTTATCGTAGAGAATCTCCTATCAGGCATTGTGGTATACACCTGTAATCCCAGCACTGAGGTGGGGGCAGGAGACCAGGAGTTAAAGGCTAGCATTGGCTATATAGCAAAATTCAAGGCTAGCCTGGGCTACATGAGATCTGTGGTGTGCTGTTTACAGACATCAGAGGTATGAGTGACCACTCTAAGGTGTATGTGTGGTGGTCAAAGGACAACTTTGTAGAGCTGGTTCTACCTTTATGTGAGCTCTGACAATTGAGCTCAGGTCATCAGCCTTGCTTGACAAACTGTCTTTACCTGCTAAACCATCTCATTGGACTGTGTTGGAGTTTCTTCAGTCACGGCCATCAGGCCAAACAAACTAGATTCTAGAGTGAAAAATATGTATCCTTCACTCTCCCTTTTTCATGTGCCCTTAATTTCCCTTCTTCTGTCCTGCTTCATTTCTCCATTGTGTTACAGCTTTCAATTTTATTCTTCATGTCCAAAGCCATTCTGATCCCTTGGTGTGACATACTTTCTTTTAATTGGAAGCCTATATAATTCTAATCCCTGGTGTTTTAAGTTTCACTTTGATATTTTTTTAGGGTTTATATCTTAGGTAATCAGTTTTGGATTCAGCTATAGCAAACTACATAGGTTATTTGCCTGTCTTTTGGTTTTGATCGTTTTTAGCTTTTATTTATTTCTTATTCCATTGCTGCCTGTTATTGTAGATTTACTCCTTTTAGAAAACTGATCTTTAATAAGTTTTATAGAGGACCAAAGTAAAATATAAGCACTTATTGTTTCACTGAATGAATTTACCGATACTATATACAGCTATTAGATATTATGTTGATATGTTAAAGTGTAGGGTTTTTTGTTGTTGTTGTAGGTTTTTTTTTCCCTCTTTTGGCTCTTTGGGAACCCATCACCTAGCTCCCAAATAAGTCACACGTAGTCTTATTATTTCTTATGAATGCCTAGCCTTACCTTGACTTGTTTCTAGCCAGCTATTCTTAAATTATCCTGTTTACTTTTTGCCTCTGGGCTTTTATCTTTTTCTATTCTGTAGAACTTTTTTTACTTTTTATTCTGTGGCATGCTGTGTAGCTGGGTGGCTGGACCCTGTGTCCTCTCTCCTTCACTTTCTCATTTCTCGATCTTCTTATCCCAGATTTCTTCTATTTATTCTCTCTGCCTGACAACCCTGCCTATTCTTTCTCCTGCCTACCCATTGGATGTTTAGTTCTTTATTTTATGAATAAAGTGTTTTAGACAGGCAAAATAATACAGCTTCACAGAGTTAAACACAACATAAAAAAGCATATCTTTATCATTAAACAAATGTTGTACAGTATAAACAAATGTAGCACATCTATAACTAATATTTCACAACATAAAAGTTATCAGTAGGATTATTTTTATAAAAGTTGTCAAAACAGGAATAAAGCAAAAATTTAAAGGCTGGGCATGTGTAACATGAGGAGACCTGTTTGTTGGGGGTTTTCTGTCCAGTCCCCCCCCCCCACTGTTTAATCCCAGAGAAAATCACACACAGGACTCAGTAAGTTATAAAGCTGATTGGCCTATTAGGTCAGGCTTCTTACTGGCTAACTCTCACATCTTGATTAACCCATTTTTCTGATCTATTTTAGCCATGTGGCTCAGTACCTTTTTCAGTGGGGCAGCTCACATCCTGCGGCTTCGGTGATCTGGGCAGGAGTGGGAGGAATCAACTTCCTCCTCCCCAGAATTCTCCTGCTCTCCTTGCATCATTTCTACTTCCTGTCTGGTTTTCTCACCTACACCTCCTGCCTGGCCAATCAGCATTTATTTAAAACATGGTTGACAGAATACAGACAATTCTCCCGCACCAGGCATGGGGATGTTTTCCTTTAATCCCTCTCTGGGGGCAGAGGCAGGAATATCTCTATGGGTTTGAAGCCAGCTTGGTTGATATAGCAAGTTCTAGACTAGCCAGGGATAGTTATTTCGCCCTGGATGCATGTATACACTCTAGTCAGTAATGCTCACACTGTCTGTTGCTCCATATGCTTTGAATATGTCTTGGTAGAGAAGGAAGATGTTGCAGTGTAGTTTCAATAGTTATTTCTCTTATTACAATTAGGTAGAGGAATTTTTCATATGTTTAAGAACTACTCTTGTTTCTTTTCCAATGAACTGTTTATCTCCTTCGCTTATCTTCCCATATGATTATTGATCTTTTTCTTAAGTAGGTGTTTTTTATTAGTGTCGTTTAAGAGTTAGCCAGATGTGGTGGTGTATGCCTTTAATCCCAAAGATCACAGGGCGGGATAGTTTACAGAGAAAGTTCCATGACAGCCAAGGCTACACAAAGAAATCCTGTCTTGGCCGGGGGGAAGAATTATTCTCTGATCTAGTACATGATTTATATATGATTTTCCATGTCTTGGTTGCCATTAGTTTTGCTCCTTTCCTATTTCCCCCTCTAAGTCCATTTTCCTTCATTGTCCTTGGTCTCCTGGAGAGCTTTCAAAGATATTTTATATGATCAAGTGTATTAGGTTTTTGTGATATAGTTATTGTTTACTATTTAAAAAGGTCTTCTACCTCTTGAGAATAGTTTCTTTTATAATAGATATACTTTCTTCTTTTCTAATTTATCAATTTATTTTACATCTCAGCCACAGCCTCCCCCCACATCCTCTTCTCCCAGTTGTTTGACCCCATCCCCCACCCTATACTTTCTTTTTTAACCTCTATTTATTTATTTGTGTGTGTGTGTGTGTGTGTGTGTCTCACTCAAGCTCAAAGACAACTTGTGGGTCTTGGGAATCACACCTAGTTTGTCAAACTTGGCACCAAGTACCTTTACCCACCTAGCCATCTCCCTGGGCCTATATAATTTCATTTAACATTTTAAAAATATATGGTTCACTTTTATCTTATTATTGTGTATCTATCATTTAGCTACATTTCCCCCCGGGTAGCTTCTCAAGTATCCTAATATCATTTATTAAATCAATTTTCTTAAGCCAGGTGGTGGTGGTGCATGCCTTTAATCCTAGCACTTGAGAGGCAGAGGCAGGCAGATCTCTATGAGTTTGAGGCCAACCTGGTCTACAAGAGCTAGTTCCAGAACAGGCACCAAAGCTACAGAGAAACCTTGTCTCAAAAAAACCCCAAAAAACAGTAACTCAATTTTCTTTCTCTTCCTCATGTAAGTTATTCCTTTTATTGTAAATGTTATATTAAAAATAATAAAGTTTTTATATATTAAAGGAAATGTAAAGCATATTATAAAGAAACGATTGTATTGAAATTTATACTTGCTATTTTTTATATTATAGGAGAAATTACAAAGTGACCAATACAAGGATAATGCCTCATCTATGAAAATAAAAATACAGAACAGTCTGAAACGTCTCTGTGCAGATAGTATTAGAGGTACCAAAGCAGAAAATAAGGATACAAACCAGTCTAGACAGCTTCGCAGTTCTAAGTCCGATGGTATCACATCTAAAACTTGTGCAAATGAAAACCAAATGAAGACTCTGGAAAAGAATACAAATCCCCTTAATCCTTGCTATAGGGAGAGAATGCAAAATAAGAATTTACATAAAGCCACTTCAAGCTGCACCCAAAACTTAAATGAAAAGATGACTTTTAATCAAAAGGATTCTGTTTCTCAATCAAGGTATAGTTAATGATTATAGTGCTTATTTATTCAATAAGTATTTATTGTGTGCCATATTGTTTAAGCACTGTAGATACAGGAATGGTTAAACCTGATGGTGGGAGGAGCCTAATGTAGGAATTCTTTTTGTTTCCTTTTTTTTTGAAATGTATTTATCCTCTTACAATTTCATACATATAAAATGTACTTTATCTTGTTCCCCTTTCACAATATTCTTATCCTCTGCCAGTCCCTTTTTTCTTCCTAGTAAGCACCCTTCCTACTCCCAGTGTGTGTGCTTGTTGTGTGCCTCACTGTCTTTCATTAGGGTTGCTTGCCATGAGCACAAATGAGAGAGGAAAAAAGTTGAGACAGGATCTCCTATATCCCAAACTTGTGTGTAGCTGAGAATGACCTTGAAATTCTACTTCTACCTCCTCCTACTTCTACCTCTCAAATGCTGATATTACAGGCAAGTATGACCACACCCAGGTTTTACAGTGCTGGGGATTGAACCCATGACCAGTTGATGCTGGATAAATACTCTACCAACTGAGCTACATCCCCAGCTCTAAAGGTTTCATTGTTGTTTGTTTGTTTTCTTTTTTGAGAAAAGGTTTTTTTTTGTGTAAGAGCCCTATCTGTCCTGAAACTCTGTAGACTAGACTGGCCTCAAACTCACAGAGATCCACCAGCTTCTGCCTCCTGAGTATTGGTATTAAAGGTGTACACCACCATTGTCTAGCATTCTAACGTTTTTTAAAAATAATTTGAATGAGGAGGTATGGATGCTAGTTTATCAAGGGCTTTGCATGTTGTTCTCAGAATATGGAAGTTTAATCCACAGGATGTGGGGAGCCCATGAAAACATTTTTGCTTATTTTCTTTTCTGAAACAGGGTCTCATGAATACAAAAAAAAAAAAAAACCAAAAAAACGCCTTCAATGACCTGTGTAACCGATGATGACCTTGAAGTTACCTTTATGTGTACTGTGTACTACTACCCCAAGTTTATATGATGCTAGTGATCAAAGCCAGGGCTTCATGCATTTTAGGCATGCTTTCTACCAACTGAATTATGTCCCAAGTTTCTGAAGTTGTGTTGGATAGTTTTATGGCAACTTGACACAAGCTAAAGTCTTCCGAGAGGGAGGAATCTTAAGGAAATACCTCAATAAGATCGGGGATATATGGAAGCCTATAGTGTAGGCCCATATTTCTTTATGGTGTAGCAGCCAGGCTCTGAAGCCATTGGGCTGATCCGAAGTGATCAGGTAGAGGTAGCCCTGCAGACAAGCCTTCTCTGCTTGAAAAAGGTCAGGATGTTGGCTGCTCCCTTTCTTTGTAATTTAGAGGATGCCTTATAGAGATGCTAATTCAAGCCTGCGTGACAGACGCCTGAGATGCCCTTTTTTGTAATAATGGTGTTGTGCTTGGTTACTTCTTGCGCCTCTGTACCAGTCCAGTTAAGGAAAATAGATATCTGTGTTGGAGCCCATGTGGCTCCAACACTATAGGACTTTTTTTTTTTTTTTTAGAATTAGTGGTTTATGGGACAGGGTCTAGCTCATTGTGAGTTTTGCTCTCCCTGGGCTGGTGGTCCTGGGTTTTATAAAACTGTGCAAACCATGTAGAAAGCAGCTTATAAACAACACTCTTTCATGGCCTCTGCCTCAGCTCCTGCCTCCAGGTACCTGTCCTGTTTGAGTTCCTGTCCAGACTTCTTCAATGATGGGCTATACAACATGGAAGTATAAGCCAAATAAACCCTTTTGTCCTCAGCTTGCTTTTGATTATTGTGTTTCATCACAGCAACAGAAGCCCTAAGATAATCAAATTTGTATTTTAGAAATTATGCTTACAAAAGAAAACTTAAACTAAGTCTCTATGTTTGAAATAATTAATTAAAGCATTGGACCTACCATCAATGTGACAAAAACTTGTTTCAGGTTTACTATAGTAAAAGGGAGTAGAGTTTGATGAAAATCCAATTTGGGGTCACTTTCTCCCCCATCCTCCCCCCAGTTTTGTTTCCAATACGGCCCTTTTCCCTCACAGGTAGCATGTAAGATTGGATGTAGGCATGTAGCTTTTCATCTTAAACCCTTTCTAGTGTTTGTCTGATTGTTGTTGTACTTAAGGAAAATGAAGGGGACGCTATGCTCTGGTCAGATTGTAGGGTAAACTAAGTATCAGGAAGATGGATTATATTATCACTCCTTCCTTTGCCAGCCCCCCCCCCTTTTTAGCTCAAGGACAATTTTATTAGAGTTCGGAAGAAAAACAAGGCAAACAAGCTGTTAATCTCAGCAGTTTTCAAGAGAAGGAGAAGATGAAGAGAGAAGACTGAGTTTTTGCAGTAGGGGTTGCAAAAGCTGGCATACCGAGCAATGTCAGTCCATAAGGAGCTTTTCAGTGGAAGAGGAAAAGGGTTTCAAAGAAAGAGAAAAAGTCCAGAGTGCAATGAAAACATGCTTAGGCTTTTGATCAGAAACAAGTCAAAGAAAAATTTACACTTTTGTCATAACTGAGAAAATGAGGCAGTTGAGCAGTGCTGTGTGGAAGCTCTGTCAAGACTCTTCTCAGTGGTGATTTTAACCTCACTCCTCAGGGATAGGAAATTGCAGAATGCTGAGATATGTTCTGGGGCCAGCCTTCTTGCCTTCTGTTCCAAGGTTTCACCCATACTCTTTTTTCCTCTTTTCCAACTGACCCTGTTTTTAATTTATTATTTTATGAGTAGTTTGTGCATCCGTGTCTATGCACCATGTGTGCCTGTTGTCTACAGAGGCCAGAAGAGAAGGCATTGGATCTCTGGGGACTGGTTATAGACAGCTGTGACATGTGTGTGCTGGGAATCAAATCTGTGTTCTCCGTAAGAACTCTTAACTGGCCAGTGCTCTCAGCTGCAGAGCACTCACTCTAACTCTATGATTGGCCATGTTTCCATCTTAGCTATTGTTATTTTAGTGTCAGTTTGAGTAGCAGTCTGAGGTTTGGTGAAAACAGACATAGTTGGAGATACAGTCTGGGGTCATGATCACCCCTTTGGTCTAAGCATTGGTAGAACACTGGAGAGATGAGTGAGCACCACTGAGAGTAGCTAGCGACTCCTGGGAGTGATGACAGCAGTGGCTTTCGGAAGCTAGAATAAAGAGCACCTGTGACTGAGCCAGTATCCACTGCCATTCTGTGTATGAGATACCCTGCTGCTGCAGAGACCACTGGAACCACAGACCCTGCCTGCACCTGGAGAAGTGACCGCTGTAGCTGTGGCCTCATCTGCACCTTGAGGATTGACCATCTGAGCCTATACCTGGAGGAGTGATCACCGGAGACTCTTCTCTACCTGTACCTCAAGGAGCATCATTTAACATGCCATAGTTCCCAACGACACCAACTGGAGGAAGAGGGACCCCCTGAAGCACCGACTCCACCTATACCGACTGGAGGAAGAAATGGGTAGATAGCAAGGTAAGAGTACACTGTACAACATAAAGAGCAATATGGCACCACCAGAAACTAGTGGTTCTATGACAGCAAGACCTGACCATCCCAACACAGATGAGGCAGAAGAAAACGACCTCTTAAAAGTAACTTTATGAAGATGATTGAGGCCCTTAAAGAGGAAATGAAAAATTCCCTTAAAGAAGTGGAGTAAAAGACAAACAAAAAATTGGAAGAAATAATTCTCTTAATAAAATTGAAGAAAAATCAATCAACAGGAGAAGGAAATGGTTCAAGACTTGAAAACTGAAATAAAAGCAATAAAGAAAACACAAACCTAGGGAATTCTGGAAATGGAAAATTTGAGTAAATGATCAGGAACCACAAATGTAAGCACAAATAACAGAATACAAGAGATGGAGGAGAGAATCTCATACTTGTATTTGTCTTGTACCTCCTACCCAGTCCACCAAATGTAACTTGAAATTTAGTATTCACAAAAAAAATTAATAAAATTCTTAATACCAAAAAACAACTCAATGTCCCCAAATTTTTTAAGTAGGATTTCAGTATTGATTTTTTTTTGTTATGTAGCTTATAGAAAGCAAAGCATAGATTTACACAGGGCTAGAGATTAACAATAATCATTGTTGGCCAGGTGGTGGTGGTACATACCTTTAATTCCAGCATTCAGGAGATAGATGCAGGGATCTCTGTGAGTTAGAGGCCAGCCTGGTCTATCTATAGAGTGAGTTCCAGGACAGGCTCCAAAGCTATACAGAGAAACTCTGTTTCCAAAAAACTAAACAAACAAACAAACAAACAAACAAAATTCCCCAAAAACCAAACCAATAATCATTGTTAATATCTGTGGCAGTTTGAAATTGGTCCCCATAAGAGGGTTAGTTATGACAAAAGGGTTAGTTAAGTTGGTGGGGGATGTGCCAGTGTGCACAAAGCTCTGGGTTTAATTCCCATTACTGCATTCAGTAGTCATAGTGACACATGCCCATAATACAGCACTCAGAAAGTGAAGGCAGGAAGATCAGGAGCTCAGAGCCATCTTCAACTACAAAGCAAGTCGAGAGCCAGCATGGGCTGTGTGAGACTCTGTCTCAAAACACAAAATAAACATATGCCTTGCCATATCTTTTTTCTCTTTTAAATATTATGTTTATTTATTTTCATTTTATTTTCTGTGTATGGATATTTGCCTGCATGTATGGCTATGTACTGTATGCATCTTTGGGGCCTGCAGAGAGGCCAGAAAAGCGTGTCAGATACCCTGGGACCTGAGTCACAGATGACTGTGAGCTACCCTGTGGGTGCCGGAAATTGAACCTGGGTTCTCTGGAATTGGACTACTTAACCACTGAGCTATCTTTCCAGCCCCCCATTAACAATTTATTTGCCAGACACAAATGTATGGTTCCATATATGGAAGATTTTTTTTGAGATTAGATCAGGTTGACCTACAACTCATGACACTCCTATTTCAGTCTCCCAAGTGCTGGGATTAGAAGTATATGTCCTATGCCCAATTTACAAATGGCTCTTAGGTCTTTCTATTTAGGTCTCTTTAGGTCTTAGGGTTTCTATTGCTGTAAAGAGACACCATGACCGCAGCAACTCTTATGAAGGAAAACATTTAATTGGGCTAACTAGCTTACATTTCAGAGGTTTAGTTTGTTATGGTGGGGTATGGAAGCATGCAGGCAGACATGGTGCTGGATCCACAGGCAGCAGAAGCAGCTGTGTACCACACTGAACGTAGCTTGAGCAAAGGAGACCGCAGAGTCTACCCCAACTATGACACACTTCTCCAGTAAGTGCACACTCATTCCAACAAGGTCATGCTCCCTAATAGTGCCACTCCCTATGAGCTTATGGGGTCCAATTGCATTCAAACTATCACAGATAGTGACAGTGATTATTGTTAGATTATTATTTGCTATTCTATCTTCCGTGTTCTTCTCCCACTGATTTTGTTCTCTCCCTTTTGGCCTTCATTTCTTCCATTTTTTTCCTCTTCCTCCTCTTTTATTTTTTTTTCTTGAAATCAAGTCTGTATTTCCAGACTGTCCTTAAACTTACTCTGTATTAGAGGGTGACTTTGAATTTTTGTTATCCTTCCTCTTCTACCTTCTGAGTGCTAAGGTTAAGGTATGAGTTACCACACAGTTTATATAGTACTAGGGATTGAACCCAGGGCTTCACAAATGCTAGGCATACATTTTACCAGCTGAGTTACATCCCTAGTTGATCTTTTCTTCTTTTAAATTTTATTTTTTTTCTGTATTCTTTTTTTAGAACTCAGACTATTATTCATTGATCCATTTCTCCCACTTACATACTTTGTCATATGCTAGGAATCAAACAGGTGTATGTCCTTTACCACATAAAGTGGGTGTGGTAACATATAATTCCAATACTTGGGAAGTAGAAGTAGAAGGATAAAAAATTTCAAAGTCACCCTTTTTACAGAGCAAGTTTAAGGTCAGTTTGGGATATAGGGAACTTGGGGTTTTTTTGTTTTGTTTTGTTTTAGAGAGGGGAGCTACATCCCTAGCCCTCTGTTAGTGATTTTTTTAAAAAATAATATTTTGCCTATATCTTCTTTTAATCAATGTTTTTACTCTCTGGAGTCTTGTTTACTTCTACAAATAATACACTGACTATTGCTGACCCTACTTTAGCCAAATTTGTTAGTGTGATAGTCGACTTTCTGCCATTATTACATAATACCTGAAGCAATTAACTGTTAGAGAGAATAGGTTTATTTTGACTCATGGTTTGGATCTAACATGGTGGGCTAAGTGCCCTTTGTTTTGGGGTCTCTAGCAAGGGCAGCATAGAGGATCAGGAACTTACCTCATAAGCTAACAGAAACAGAAGACATAGGACTATCCAAGATGGCACAGTCCCCTTCAAGGATGTATACCTGGTGACTTTAAGACCTTGTGCAAGGCCCCACTTCCTAAATATCTCAAAGTCTCCCAGTAGTGCCAAGCTGAGGATCAGGGCTTGAATGATGGACGTTGGGGGCACACTTGACATTCAGATTATAGTAGTCGGTTTTGGAAACAGCTCCATCTGCCTGCCAGACATTCAGAACCAAAATACTGTTTAAAATTTCCCTGACACTACAGAGTCTTTATTTCCATTAATGTAGTATTCATTTTCTTTTAGTGACCATGTTGTTAAACATCTGATTCACACTGTCAAAAATAGAAAGCAGCAGGTACCAGTAACAGGTATGATTTAAAATGTTTCTTCTTTGGTATTTCAAGAAAATCAGTGTTTGGATGACTGAAACTCAAATGTAAATTAGTATATCTGTTCTGTGTAAGCCATACTTTTGTCTCTGACCTTTATTACCATTTATTCTTATCTAGGATCTTTCTCTTTATCCACTAAGATGGCTAGATATGTAGTTGTGAGGGGAAATGTATGGAAATCTGATGTTTAATAAGCATTATAAATTTCAGAACCTTTTCATTAAACAAAAAAAATCAATGTTTTACATTTTTTTCAGATCCATTTACATTGTGTTTAGACATAATAGATAAAGAAGCTGGTTTTCAAGCAACTGACAAGTCTTCCAAAATGTTGAAATATAGATGCTCAGGTGAATATTTTTTAATTATAATAATTTCATAATTGAATCTGTATCTGCTACTTACTGGAATTTATACCACTTCTGCCTTATGATTTAATTTCATCTCTTTTGAATATATGACAATCTGAAATTTGAAAGCATTTAAATCAATGTTGTCTATTTTGCATTAGGTCATGCCCACATGAGTAAATGCAATTAATATATCTATTATTGTTGTTTATGTCACAACACTGTCTATAACTTTGAATGAACAAGATAAATATGTTTTCAGAGAATAGAAAAATATTTATTTTATATTATGCTCTAAAAAGGTATTAAGTATTCCATATATAGTTTTATATTGCTAGTAATTTATTAATGTTCCTAGTGTCCCATGCCCCACTACTGATTTTTTTCTATAAGATTTTATTGCTCTGATCTAAACTTTTCTCTTCTTCACATCCTACAATTTTCTGTTTTTTTTTTTTTTTTCAAGCAGGGTTTCTCTATGTAGCCGTCCTAGCTGTCTGTCCTGGAACTAGCTCTTTAGACTAGGCTGGCCCCAACTCACATAGTCTGCTTGCCTCTGCCTCCTGAGTACTGGGATTAAAGGCATGCACCACCACTGCCCAGCTTCCTCTTTTCTTCATGTTCACTGTTCTATAGAAAAAGCTGAGGTTGTTTCATGTTCAGTTCAAAACATCAGTATTGTATTTTAGATGAAGACTTTCTCTGAAGCTGATGTATAACCATGTACAAATCCCATATCTCTCGTCTGTTTAATATAATTGTAAACTCTTTCTTTCTTTCTTTCTTTCTTTCTTTCTTTCTTTCTTTCTTTCTTTCTTTTTTCAGTACCTTTCTTTAAATCAGCACACCTGTATTCCAGCTACTTAAGATATTGAGGCACTCTGGGTGGTGGTGGCACATGCTTCTAATCCCAGCACTTGGGAGGCAGAGGTAGGCGGATCTCTATGAATTCAAGGCCAGCCTAGTTTACAGGCAGGGTTCCAGAACAGCCAGGGCAGTTACAGAGAGAAACCCTGTTTCCAAAAGCTAAAATAAAAAGTGTAGAGAGAAATTGAGGATATTTTGAGGCAGAAAAGATCATTATTATTAGAGCCTACAAATTCCAGGCTATCTTAGGTCATATGTTACTACCTCATCTCTCAGACACACAAGCAAACCGTCAGGTTTTTTTGTTTGTTTTTTTTTGTTTGTTTTTTTGGTTTTTTTTGTTTTTTGTTTTTTTTTCAAGACAGGGTTTCCCAGTAGCTATGGAGCCTGCCCTGGAACTAGCTCTTGTAGACCGGGTTTGTATCTCAAACTCAGAGATCCGCCACCTCTGCCTCCCAAGTGCTGGGATTAAAGGCCAACTACTCCCTCCAGGCTGTAGTCACAGTTAATATTGCTGTGAAGACACACCAAAACCAGGGCAACTCTTATGAAAGAAAGGATTTAATTGGGGACTTGTTTACTGTTTCAGAGATTTAGTTTATTTTTCATCATGATGGGGAGCATGATGGCATGCAGGCAGTGTTGGAGGAGTAGCTGAGAGCTACATACTGGTCTGTAGGCCTAGAGAGAAAGATTCTGGACTTTTGAAATTTGAAAGCCTACCCCCAGTGACATACTTCCTACAACAAGGCCACACCCCCTAATCCTTCTCAAGTAGTGCCACTCCCTTTTGACTAAGCATTCAAATATATGCACCTATGGGGCCATTCTTATTCAGACTGCCACAGACAACATTAATATAAAAAATGTGGTTTAGTCTCAAATTTCTTTTTATCTACTTTTGAAACAGAGTATCACACTAATCAGGCTGGCTTGGAACCTACTAAATAGCCTAGGCTAGCCTGAGAGTCAACTATGAGCTATCACTCCCAGATTAACCTAATATTTCAGTGCTGAAACTCAGAACTCCTTGATTAGGTAGTCATGTCTAGTAGATGCTGATTACTGTTGTATGAATTTCACAGCATTTATAGTACCCTCTTGAGTTCATTACAGAATACCTAGGCAGATAGTTTGGGCTATTACATCCATTTGTCCTACCTGAACCAAGCTTATTTTTCCTCATCTTAAAAATTCAAATACTAGCTGGGTAGTGGTGGTACACGTCTTTAATCTTAGCACTTGGGAGGCAAAGACAGATGGATCTCTGTGAGATCGAGGCCAGCCTGGTCTACAAGAGCTAGTTCCAGAACAGGCTCCATAGCTACTGGGAAGCCCTGTCTCAAAAAACAAAAAAGAAAAAGAAAAAAAAAGGAAATCTAAATACTTAGTACAGTTTGCTTTCTCTTTAAATGTCCATCTGCTTTGTCTACCATCCCTTTTTTCTTTAGGGAAGAGGAATTGGGGGGGGTTGCTTGCATATATGCCTGTGCATCACTTGTGTCTGATTCCCAAGGAGGTCAGAACAGAGTGTTAGATACCCCAGAATTGGAGTTACAGACTGTTGTCAGCCGCCATGTGGATACTGAGAATTGAACCCTGGTCCTCTGAACTAACAGGTAGTGCCCTCAACCACTAAGCCGTCTCTCCAGCCCTGAGAGGGATCTTTTGAGATGAAGTTTGATTGTGGAGTCTTCTCTGTGTAGACCAGACTTGTCCTGAATTTTCAGTGATCCTCCTGCCTCTGCCCTTCAAGTGTTGTAATTATCAGCATGTATACCTATGCCAGGGTAGTATTCTACTTCTATTGGTGACTCTTCTTGATTCCTTCTCTCTCAATACACTCTTTCTATTAATTCCCTAATGTAGCATGAATTCTAATTAGTCTTAATAAATAAAATCTGGAGTCAGATATTGGGGCGAAAGTTGAAGAATGAGAGAAGCAGTGTAGCCAGCTACTAGTAAGACCTTTTACCACTACCAATGCTCAGACCGAAGCGGTGATCCTGTCCTCAGACTGTCTCCTCAGACTGCAACTTGTCTCCACCAAACCTCAGACTGCACTGAGCTCCTGTCTACTCCTGCCTCATATTCTTCCCTCCGCTCATCCATGTCATCTCTCCCTAGTGCTGGTATTAAAGGTCTGGAATCCCAAATCTCAAGTGCTGGGATCACCTTTGTGTGAGTTCTTGTTTCCTTTTAGACAGATTCAATCTTGTGTAGCCCAGGACAGCCTTGAACTAACAGAGATTCCTCTGCCTCTATCTCCTGCATCCTGGGATTAAAGGTACGTGCCACCATTCCCTGGCCTCTAGTGGCTTAACTCTGCACTCTGATCTTCAGACAAGCTTCATTTGTTAAAACACAAACAAAATATCACTATACCCTAAAACGTGGCCCTTACCCTCTTGTTCACTATCACATGCACTCTTTCCATTACTGAGGACTGAATTTAAGGGACTCGCACATATTAGACTACAACTACAACTATGACTATAACTTCTTCTCTTTCTTTTTCTCTTCCTCCATCATCATCATCATCTTCTGTCCCTCCTCTCTCTCCCTTTCTTACCACTCTACTTATTTTTATACGTTAAAGCTACTCAAAGCTTCATTTTTCCCTCTAAAACTAGTTAATTGATCAATTTAATTATTTTTGTCATTTTACTGAACTTTAAATATTACTTTATCTGGAGCCTTTTCCTCCTAAAACTGGTAATTTATTCATTATTAACTCATTCATTCTTTTTTTTTATGTTATTGATGTTGGGTCTCATTTTATAGCTCTGTTACCAATGGCCAGGATTAGGATCATGTGTTCTCAGGTTTTTGACCTCTTATCCATTGAGGGCAGAGTTTTTCTGTCCTGCCAACCTACTCCCCAAAAAACCACACAGTGACTTATTATTAATTATATATGCTCAGCCAATTGCTTAGGCTTGTCTCCAGCCAGCTCTTATGAATTAAATTAACATTTATTTTAATCTATGTGCAGTCCTGAGGCTCGTTTACCTCATCTCTGAACTTTCCATGTGGATTCTTTCACATCTGGCTTGAGATTCCTCTGACTCTACCTTTTTTCTTCCCAGCATTTTCTCTGTCCTGAAAATCCTACCTAGCTATCATCCAATCAACTTTATATTTACAATTAGAGCAACACATTTTCACAATGTACAGAAAGATTATTCCATAGCATTTTCCCATTTTTATCCAAATAAAAAGGAAGGTTTTAACTTTAACATAGTAAAGTTATGGACAACAAAACCAGTTATCAAGTAAGAATTACAGTTACAACATCCAATCCATTTGTATTTGGCAAATTTAGAGAAAATGCTCTGTTTTCTTATCTTTGTAAGTCTGAAGTTTTATACCCAATTTACCTTTTGTCATAACTAAGGAAAACTGTAAGTCTAGTTATTTAGTCTTTAACTCTATTAAAGACTCCAGAAGACTATAATGTTACTAATGACAGGGACATCTGGCTGCCTGGAGGGTCACCCAAAGTTCTGTAATGTTGGGGCATCCAACTTTGGTATACAGGCCTAGTATATTTGATAGACATTTTTGAGAAGTGGGGAATTTTGAGGGGCTGTCCTACCTTGTCTTGGCAAAGTTTGATAGTCACTTTCTTTTTCTTTCTTTCTTTTCTTTTTTTTTTTTTTCTTTTTGGTTTTTCGAGACAGGGTTTCTCTGTAGCTCTGGAGCCTGTCCTGGAACTAGCTCTTGTAGACCAGGCTGTCCTTGAACTCACAAAAATCTGCCTGCCTCTGCCTCCCGAGTGCTGGGATTAAAGGCATGCACCACCACCGCCCAGCTTGGTAGTACTTTCTTTTGTATCCTGGTGGTCTGTTTTGGACAGTATACTGTCATCAATTGAGACAAGGGTAGTTTCTTGCCCAGTGGTTAAATTTTGCCACAAAGAAAGCAAACTCCACACGGGATTTTTTTCTTTCTTTCTTTTTTTTTTTAATATTTATTTATTTAGCCTGCATGCCTGCACACACACACACCAGAAGAGGGCACCAGATCTCGTTATAAATGGTGATAAGCTACCATGTGGTTACTGGGAATTAAACTCAGGACCTCTGTAAGAGCAGCCAGTGCTCTTAACCTCTGAGCCATCTCTCCAGCCCCACATGTGAGTTTTCAATGTCCACCACCTCATCTGAAATAGATTGAAGTTGCCAGGAACAAATGTGTCTCATTGTCATGAGAAACCTTAGGTTGTTAAACATATTAAATGGCCTATTCTGTAGGTCTTTGAAGTGTTTGAAGACCATCTATCTAAATTTATCTGGTTAACCTTGAAAATATACCTAATGTGACTACAAGTTTGATTGCTATAGATGACTAACTATTAGCTTGTATTTTTAATTATACATTATATTTTTAAATCAACTGCATCAGCACAATATCCCAAACAAGAGTAGAAACATAAATACTGTAAAACAAAATTAACTTTTAATTTACATCATTAAACCAAAATTCATACCAATGTAAAATATTTTGAGTTTAGTAGTTTCTTTTTTTATTTTAAAGACTTATTTATTAATTATATATACAGGGTTCTTCCTGCATATATGCCTTCAGGTCAGAAGAGGGCACCAGATCTCATTACAGATGGTTGTGAGCCACCATGTGGTTGCTGGGAATTGAACTCAGGACCTCTGGAAGAGCAGTCAGTGCTCTTAATCTCGAGCCATCTCTCCAACCCCAGTTTCTTTTAAGATTAAAGTAGATTCAATAATCTTTCCTTTTCCTTACATTCCTATATTTTATTCCCATTTTTTTCTTTTAGAAAGAGATCTTTGAGTTTAACTCTTTTTTGTAGCTTTTTTTCCTGACTATGACCAATAACAACTTGTAATCAACCCCCCCTTGAATGATAACAAGCATCCATAACCCATCTTTTATGGGAATTTGGACATCATTCTCGAGACTACTTCCTGTTGTTTTTGGGTGCTGGTATCTTTGTGAGAACCTGTCAGGGACCAGCCACGAGAAAAATAACTCTCACCAGGGTAAGGGCATGGGGATTTAGAAATATAGTAAAGACTGTGAATTTCTAAGTCTTGACTAAAATAGTTTGTGAGGTTGGACCATCTCAGCGAGCAGCCTTAAAACTGTTTTGATGCAGGACTCTGAGATGCTGGTTGACCTGGGCCATCTGTTTCCACTGGTGTCTGGTCCCCTTGTCCTGAAAATATATAAACTTTTAAAGGCAACATACATGTTGTATGTCTGCATTAATCCAAGGATAAACTGTGTATTGCACATAAATTAGGCAAAGATGAAATCTTTTACCTGCTCAAACATAAAAGAAAATATCATCTTTTTCTTTTTTATTTGTTTATTGGAGACAGTCTCACATATCCCAGACTGGCCTCCAGTTGATAGTGTAAGCAAGGATAGCCATGAACATCTGATTTTCTTGTCTCTGCCTCCTAAATGCTGGGTTTACAGGTGTGTTCTCAATTTTCTGCTGTGCTAAAGATTTAATCCAGAGTTTTGTGAATGTTAGTCAAATATTGTACCAATTGAACTAATCCTTAGCCCTTTTTCTTTTTCAGAACTAAACCTAGGGCTTTGTACATGCTAGACAAGCACTGTACCCTGACCTGTAGTAGCCCTTTAATTTTACGTCTTGTTTTGTATTTTTGGGTTTTTTTGTTTTGTTTTGTTTTTCATTTGTTTGTTTGTTTTGAGACCAGTTTTCACAAAATTGCCCAAGCCAGTATTGAACTTGCAAACCTCTTGTTCTCCTGCCCTGGCCTCCTAAGAACTTGATTGTAGGCATGTGTTGCCACAGTGAGTTGGATGCTTCTTTTCTGAGTGATTGTAACCTCTTATTTCTTTGTATTTATTTTCTTTACTCTCTGAGATGAGTTGGAGTTTCTTGAAATACTTCATACATTCTAATTTTACTTCAGTTTATCATCTTAGAGGTTGTCTACTTTCTTTTTTTGGGGGGGTGGTTTTGAGACAAGGTTTCTCTGTAGTTTTGGTGCCTGTCCTAGAACTAGCTCTTGTATACCAGGCTGGCCTCGAACTCATAGAGATCTGCCTGCCTCTACCTCCCTATTAAAGGCGTGCTGGGATTAAAGGCGTGCACCACCACTGCCTGGCAAGGGTGTCTACTTTCACAGCGTTATTAGTATATAATTTTAGAATATCTATATGTCAACTTAACTTGTTTTCTTTCAGGTTGCGTAGCGGTAAGAAAACTACTCAACAGTCGAAATTTTAGCAAGCTTTTACACTCTTGTGCATACCAATGTGATTACCATAAAGTCATTATGGAAGCTGAAGATAAATATAAAAGTGAATTAAGGAAAGCACTTATCTGTGACAAAGGTAATTAATTTAGCAACTTTAACTGTAATTATGGCTACACATTCTGAACTATCATCTAAAGTATTAGGTATATTGACTAGAGAGTGTAAAATACTCTTGAAAAGAAAAACCTATCTCTAGATTACCAATAACTTAAGATATACTAGAGTAGATTTAGTCTATAATGACTTAAAAATTCTCTGTAAACTGGGTATGCTGACACACACATGTATTCTCAACCTTTGGGAGGTAGAGACAAGAGAATCAGGAATTTAGGGCCAACCTTAACTATACAGAGTTTGAAGCCACCCTGATCTATCTGATACCCTGCCTCAAAAAACAAAAAGAGATCGAGATGTGATGGCACATGTCTTTTATTTTCAGTACCTGGGAAGCAGAGTTAGGCAGATCCCTGAGTTCAAGGACAGCCTGTTTTACATAGCTAGTTCTCGGACAGCTAGGACAACACTGAGAAACCCTGTTTCAAACCCAAAACCCCAAAAAACATAGGTCTGGGGAGATGGCTCAGCAGTTAAGAGCTCTTGACTGCTCTTAGAGATGACCCAGGTTCATTCAGTCACAGCACCTACAGGTGGCTCACAACCATCTGTAATTTTAGCTCCAGGGAATCAAACACCCTTTTCAGGCACACATGTAGTATGCATACACACAAGCAGGCAAAACACTCATACACAGTAGGAAATATAATAAAAAACAAAATTACTTCTAGCTAGTTTACTTAAGGATTCCCACTAGAAGAGGGTAACACGTATCATACTATAATAGAATTAATATATGACTACTTATATTGATATCCTAAGTATACAAAATGTTTTCTATATTTTTCAGAAATTTTGCTGACCCCCCGTAGAAGAAGACAACTTAGTAAAATGTCTACTGCCTCTGAAGGACTAAGTGAATATATTTAATTTTTAAATAAGCTTAAATTCTACCTATTACTAAAAAGAGAGCAGATAAATGACTGTTCTCATTAATTAGAGATTAAATTGATATAAATAATCAATAATTTAAATGATAATTAATATGATAATTTAATGATAATTAAAATGATAACCCTTGGCTTGTATGAGATACCTACTGAAAAGAGACAACCTTTTCCTCTCTATGATGTTTGTTTACTTGCTGCCTGCCACCTGGGGAATTCTCTCTAGAAAAAAGACATTCCTTTTTTATTTATTTATTTATTTCTAACTGGCTTTGTAGATTTTATTTTTATTTTATGTGTATGATTATTTGCCTGCATGTATGTATGTGCACCAAGTATATGTAGTGTTCATGGAGGCCAAAGAAGATACCAGATCTCCTGAAACGGAGTTATAGAGGGTTGTAAGCCACTATGTAGGTGCTAGGAATTGAACCCTGGTCCTATGGTGCTCCTAACCGCTGAGCCATCTCTCCAACCCTGACATTTATTAAGCATCAGATACATGTTAGGTGTTTTATAGATATTATGTTCTTTGATTGTGTTAATAATCAGTTGGAAATCACAGAACTTAGATTCAAATGCAAGACATCTAGAAACGCTTGTTATATCTGGTTCAAATTTCAAGAAAGTTATTCTGTGTACAAGTACTTCAAACAGACATTATTGAAGGCTTCTGCTCATAGCTACTGAAATTTAAACAATAAAAATTAAAGAGACAAATGGGATAAATTAAGTTTCTCTTTTAAAATAAAAATCCTTAGTAAGTTAGCTTATAGAATGCTAAGGAATGGGAGATGAGTTAGCTGAAATGCTTGCTGTACAAGCACGGGGACCTGAGTTTGAATCTCTAGCATCACATAAATGCTGGACATGGTGGTACATCTGTAGTTTATTGCTGGCAGGGCAGAGACAGGCAACTACCTCCCTGAACCAGCAGGCTATCCAGTCCTGCCAATAGGTGAGTTTCAGGTTCAGTTGAGAACCTGTCTAAAAAATTTAGGTGGCAAGCGATAAAAGGAAGAAACCCAACATTGATCTCTGACTTCCATATATACTAATTGATTGATTGTGTAATTTTAACTGTAAGGTTAGTGTTTCTGGCTTTTCATCATTCCAAATTTATCAGATTTCAAGAGTGTTATCATTTTCTTCTAATCCTAGGAAACTAATACCTTCAGGTTAAGAAAGTGCAATGAGGTCTCATTAGTGTCACCTGGAGATTAGTAATATCAATGGAGCTACTCTGTTGTTTATTACAGATTGTGAACTTGTGTATCCCACAAGCATTTTGTCTCACTTAGCATTTATTTGGTTATTTTCACTGCCAAACCTCGAATGCTACTTAAAATTCACTTTATACATCTTGAGTCTTTCTCTGCATTAAAAGTTTTTTGTGGGGCTGGGGAGATGGCTCAGTGGTTAAGAGCACTGACTGCTCTTCCAGAGGACCCAGGTTCAATTCCCAGCAACCACATGGCAGCTCACAACTGTCTGTAATTCTAGTTCCAGGAGACCAACACTCATGGCAAAACACCAATGTACGTAAAATATAAATAAATAAATTTTAAAAAAAGTTTTTTTGTGGAGCTGAAGAAGTAGTTCAGCACTTGAGAGTGCTTACTGCTCTTGCACAGGCCGTGGGTTTTATGCCCGGTACCCATATCAGGTGGTTCTTAGCCACCTGTAACTCAAGTTCCAGGGGATCTGACACCCTCTTGTCTCTGAGGGCACCTGCACTCATGTGGTGCACATAAACTTATGTAGACCCATACATATACATAAATAAATCTTTTTTTTTAAGTTTTCATAGCCTGGTGGTGGTGGTGGCGCAAACCTTTAATCCCAGCACTCGGGAGGCAGAGACAGGCGGATTTTTATGAGTTTGAGGCCAGCCTGGTCTACAGAGTGAGTTCCGGGACAGCCAGGGTGGTTACACAGAGAAAACTTGTCTTGATAAAACAAAAAGAGTTCTTCATGTAGAGGCAGGTGTGGTGGTGTGTTCCCATAATTCAAGCCCCCAGGAGGCAAAGGCATGAGAATTGCTGAAATCAAGGCCAGCATGGTCTACATAGCAAGTTCCAGACCAGCCAGAGCACACACAGCCAGATCTTGTCTCAAAAAATAAAATATAAAACCAACAAAAAGGTTATTTTTGTAAGTTAAGATTAAGTACAGTGCCACTCTTTTAGATACTGAATAGCTCAGTATCTCCCAAATACTGCGATAACAGGAATAAAGCGCTGTTCCTGGCATGAAATGCCTATTTTTCCAAGTAATAGTTTCTGTAGTAACTTTTACAAAATGGAAACTTTGTTCCATACAGACATATTGCACTTAGAAATTTTGTTCTTAGTTTAGTATGGTTGTGCATGCCTTTTATCTCAGCACTCAGGAGGTAGAGGCAGGTTCTGTGAGTTCGAGGCTACAAAATGAGTTTCAGGACAGCTAGAACTTTTACAGAGAAACTTGTCTCAAAAAAACCAAAAATAGAAAAAAAAATGTTCTTGGCAAGGACTTGACATCAAATTATCAATAGATTTTTTTAGTAGCATCTTCAACGTAAATAAATAACCAAAAATTAGTCTATAATTAATTTATATTGAAAAATAATCAGCACGCCTCATGCAAATGGGCATGAATGATCCTAAATACTGTTATGTGACATTCACTTCAAATACCAAGTACTTATTTTTGTAGGTTAGACTTAGTTAATTGAAAATAAGCAGTTAATAATTTGCCTGCTTTGTTAGAATTTACAAGAATATTTTGAGGAAGTATTAATTTGACTCTTAATCTCTCTCTTTTTTTGCTTTTTTGTTTTGTTTTTTTGTTGGTTTTTTTTTGTGGGGGGGGGGGGGTAGTGGACAGGGTTTTTCTGCATTGCCCTAGTTGTCCTAGAACTCACTCAGTAGACCAGACTGGCCTTGAACTCACAGAGATCTGCCTGCCTCTCCCTTCCAAGTGCTGGGATTAAAGGTGTGCACCACCATTATCCAGTTTAATCTCTCTTTCAGGTCAAACTATGAATATTTAGTATGTGACCATTTTTTCCCTCTTGATTAGTTTCCCTTTCATATTAGGTATCTCACTACCATTCATTTAACTGTAGTTTATACTTAGATTTGAGCCTATCATTTTGAGGAAGGGTAATGTACCATGTAAGTATTGACGACTCCTCCAAAGCTCTTTTTAGGATGACTTGCTGTGTTGAGAGAATTTGACAAGTAAAAATTTCTAGAATTAAGCCCTCTTTCTCATTGTCTTCTGTAAACACACAGTGGACATTAAGAATAGCCCTGAGGCTGGGTGTGTGACTCATGTCTCTAATCCCAGAACTAAGGCAGAAGGCTCATAAGTTTGAGACAAGTGTGACTATATCGCAAGACTTTCTAGAAGCATAATAATAATAATAATAATAATAATAATAATTTTTTTAATTGTACTCAAAAGGCCATGTAGTGAAGCCTTGAAGTGCAGAGTCTTTTTCAAAACTACCCAGTCCTCTGCTTTAGAATTTGTAAGTCAGGAAAATGGTAGCATTGGTGGAAATGGGGGGCTTTATGTGAACAACTTTTAAGGCCTTAATATCCTAAAAGTTATAACCTGCCTAGTCCTGATTACAAGGAGATCAAGTCATTTATCAAATGAAACTTCAAAGAAACTTTGGGTAACAACAGTTTTCCAGCATTCCCAAAACTAAGGTGTAACTTCATATAGAAGTTTTGAGATAGTTTTATCAATAATAACTTTTCTCTTAATAAGTACTGGTGATTGCCTACTATATCTGAGATACTGTTCTGAACTTGGGCAATGCAGTGGTAACTAAGCTACTCAGAAGTCTCACTGTTATTCTCCTGGGGAACTGCATTTCCCAGGAGGCCCCTATGCGCAGGCGCAGAGTGAAGCGTGGTCCGCCTGACTCAAAAGACTTCATTTCCCAAAAACACATGTACCCACAATCCAACACGGACGCAGACCGCAGTGTCTGATGCACGCATTCGCTGGGTTGGTCTTTAAAAGGCAGAATCGCGGTACACCCCCCTCCTCTTTCCCCTTCCTGCTTCCAGCCTGCACTGTCCCCACGCCCCTTCCCTGTAATAATGTTACGCGTGGGTTTGTTTGTACCTCGTGGTCTCTTTCGTATTCCGCAGAAACAACAACACTCATCCTTCATGGAGCTTGCATTTTTAAATACTAACTACTAATAATAACACTGACTTCTCAGCTTCTGCTGGGAAGATGTTCTCTTTTGTTTTAAGCCATCGCATTTACCTTAGAAAGGTAGACAAATGGCCAGCACTGTTTGCTTGCAAGTGTCAAATTTTATACATCCATCCCTTATATAGTAAGTAGCATCCTCAAGCAGAAATGCTGAAACACATCTCTCTGGCATCTGTGTACAGTGCCACACAAGTTATTAGTAAACTCCAAAGTGGGAGGAAACCATTCTTGGGACTGGAGAGATAGACCAGCAGTAGAGGTGCTTGCAGCTAAGCTTGATGACCAGAGTTTTATCCTCAGAACCCATATCAAAGTGGAAGAAGAGAACTGACTTCACAAAGTTGTTTTCTGTTCTCGACATGCATGCCCTGGCATGAGCGTGTCTATACACATCACACACACACACAGTAATAATAAAACTACTTCCTTATAATAGTCACCAGGAGATAATTGAAATAACTGTTTACCAGCTGTGTATTCTTTCTGTTATAGAAGCTATTCATCAAAAACCAGATAGTCAAAAACTTCCAGGTTTGGAGGAACATGCTCGTAACACCAGCATTCCAGAGGCTAAAGAGAGAAGATTCCGAGTTCCAGGCAAGCATGGACTACATAGTGAGTTTGAGGCAAGCCCATGCTACATAGGAAAAGCCTGTCTCAGAAGAAAAAAAGCAAAGAGAAAAGAAAACCTACAAACTTCTTTTTCCATTATGTAACCCGTTTTGCTTTTATGTTTTGATAAGCTGAGCACCTCTATTGATAGTACATCTGTTTTATTTTTTAAGTGAACTTCAAAAGACTTTTATTGAAAACAATGAAAACTGGTATTCAAAATAACAATTGTTATTCTCTATTCTGTGAAGTTATGGAGCCTTTGAGAAGACTGTATCTGTAAGATAAGCTGTTTGTTAACCATCCTCACAGCAATGCTGCATTAAAATCTAATGTTTATAAACTTGTTTTTCGATTGATAGATGTGGATAGTGTTTCAATGATTAAGTTATAATATTAAAGAAATTACAGTGATAGCACCTCACTTAGTGATGTATTAAACTGAAGTAAACGTCCATTTGAAAAGTGTGTCTGGCATTGAACTGTCTTATTCTGTAGTTTATATCTAGGGAATAAGTTACACATTTATTTGAGTCTTAGGATTTCTTATTTCAGCAAGTATTAATATATTCTACAATTTCCATTCATTTCAGGAAAACGAAGAATTCGTAAAAACTTTACCAAAGAAGAAGTAAATTATCTTTTCCATGGAGTTAAAAAAATGGGAAATCATTGGAATTCAATTTTGTGGTCTTTCCCCTTTCAACAGGGACGAAAGGCTGTAGACCTTGCTCACAAATACTACAAACTGATCAGAGGCCCCAACTGTGCAGCCATATGACTAGAAGAGACTCAAGTTTTTTGTTTGTACTCTTAAAATAGAATTTCTTAGGAGATATAAATTGTCAACTATTCTTCTAAACTCTTAAGAGACCGGATATGAGAGTTGAAATGACTTTTGTGATACAAACTCTTAAAAATGTTATAATAATTTATAAAGCAAATGCATTTTCAAAAATGTGAAAATTAGACTTTTTCCATGAGGCCAAATATGTTGTGCCTTTAATTTTCCTTATAGTCAAAAAACATAGATCAGAAAAAAAAATTAGCAGCCTTTAAACATTACTTAACATTATAGTGCCATAAATACTATGTGAGACATTTGCTTTTCAATATTTAGCCTAGTACCAGTGTTCACTCTAGAACTCAGACAATTTCTCAAGCTGTTCAACTAAGGCTCTCATCCAACAAATAAATGTTTGCCATTTGTTAATTGAAATTATTCCTCTTCTAAAGGTCAACTATGAGGTTGTATTAGCACTCTCATATTCTGTGATCAAATTCTCATTTTGCTGTATATTTACTTGCTTTGTTTATTCATTACATTGTATTGATTTATTGTGTATTTGGGCACATGTGAAGACCATAGAAAACAACTTGCAGAAGTTAGTTTTTTCCTTGCACTATGTGCGTCCTAGGGGCCCAATCTCAGTTTGTCAGGTAAGGCAGCAAGTGCCTTTACTCATCAAGTCATCTTGCTTGTTGCTTTAGTTGTTTTACGGTGTCTCTCATTTCCTCCTCCTGTCCTTCCACGTCATTTTTGCGTCATGTTACTGAGCCTCAGCTACTTCGCGCTGTAGCAGGTCATATCCTCTAAAGAGCTTAGTCACTGTGGACATACTATTGTCTATTTGTAATGTATGCCTTAGAAAGGGCTCAACTTTTCTCCTAAGCTATGCCCAATATTATGAACCTAATTTTGATGTCTTTTGACTAGCTTTCCAATAATAGCTAAACTACCTTTTACATTATTATAATTGGAATCATTTTCAAATAATTCTATCCTGTTGGGTTAGTTTGTGATACGATATGGTCTTATGTAGCCCAGGCTGGCCTAGCACTTGCACTCACTGTAAATCCTAGAATGACCTTCTCTTTGTTTTTGTTTAGCAGATCTGGGATTTGCTCCTAGAACATTGTGTTTGCTAGTCAGCCCCGGCCCTGGTTTTGTTTTTGAGACAGTATCTCACTATGCAGCCCAGGCTGCTTTTGAACTCATTATCTCCTTGCCTTAGCGTCCCAAGTGTTGGGGTCACAGGTTTCCGCCTCCAAGCCCAGTTTGTGGGATGCTAGGAATGCATCCCTGCCCCAGCACTGTTAGCTGAGTGGTATCTCCAGCCCATGGATTGTTTTTGTTAAACTCTACTATAGGACTGTAAGAGCTCCTGTTCAGTTTCTCATTTTGTTAGATTTAGTCTGTGCTGTTTGTCATCCAGTATTTTTGGAAACACTTCTGTGTCTGCTTATGTGAGTGTGCTGCTGCATTCTCCTCTAAATATCAGATGACACTCTGAATGAACTATTGGCAAGCCCTGGTAGTCTCTTTATTTTTCAGACAGTCTTGTGCAGACCAGACTGGCCCTGAATTCAAGCTCTTCCTCCCTTAGCCTTCTCAGTGCTAGGGTTATAGACATATGCCACCACCAGTGGCTGGTCTGGTCTTTAGCAAGCTTCAGTGTTATCATCCAGCCCATTTTTTTTTAAATCCTCTTTTGTTGTACATTGTTCAATTCTCTGTTGAAATTTGCATTACCTATCTTTGCAGCATCCTCCCACCTGCAATTACCACCTGGTAATCCTGCAAGAAAAGAAAACTACTATGTGCATTTACATCTGGTGCTATCTTTTCCTTTTGCAACTGGTCACATTAGAGAATTTCATGTAGTGGGGATTAAAGCTTACTGACTCAGAGTTTTCAACTCTACTGTCCTGTGAAAACTCATACTGCTTGTCCTTGTGTGATTTCCAGAATTGCCTGCACTTCCCTCCCATTTTCCTTTTTCCAATTTACACTCAAAATGGCAGATTGTATGCCCTTATTGGATCCTGTAATTTATGCTGCTAAGTTTTTTGGCAGAGCCAGAATCACTATCCTTTACACCTGGAACCCACTTAGGTGATTGCTTTTCCCGCCATATCACTTTTCCTTGTATTTATTAATGCTTTGTAAAGTTTGCCTTCTTCCATAGAGAACAGCAAGAGCCCTCAAGTCAAGGCCATACCTTAATCTACCTCTGATAAACACAAACATTTCTTTCTCTTCTCCACTACTTTTCCTGTTTGACATTTCTTCTTTACCTTTTCACATCCAGTCTCTCCCCCAATACTTTCTCCAATGAAGGAAAGCAGTTACAGCTGTCAAATGTCAAATATCCCTAAAAGATAGCATTTTAAAAAACTTGTTGAAGCAAAGCCAAGAGTATTGTTAACTGTGGTAAATATATATATATACATATATATGTGTATATATATATATTCACAGTTATTAGTCCACAGAGGAGGAGATGAAAAACAACAATTGAGGATTTGTGATATTCTTTGAATAGACATCTTGAGAATTATGCCAAATTCATTATATAAGAATTCAGGAATAATGAACATGACTGGGATGTTCCTCTAGCACTGGGTCTTGGGGCTGTGTTTTCAGACAAAGCCTTACTAGCTAGCCTTCAACTTGCTATTTAGATCAGACTGGCTTCAAATTTACAAAGATCAACCTGCCTCTGTCTCCCAATGGCTGGAATTAAAGGCGTGTGCCGCCATACCAAGTCTATTTTAGCTTTCTTTTTTTTCTTTTTTCCTTTTTTTCTTTCTTTTTTTTTTTTTTTTAAGCAGTGTCTCACGTAGCTCATGCTTGGTTTAACTTGCATTGTAGTCTAAGACCTTGAACTTCTGATTTCCCTTCTGCCTGATTCCCGCTGCTAGGATGACAGGCAGGCATGCCCAGTGAGTTTTTACAGAGCGTCTTTCATGGTAGTCCATATCCTAGCCCTTTTATATTTCTGATCCTTAGTTTCCCCACTTATTAAAGAGTTAAGCAGGATTCGATGGGATAGCTTGTTACACTCACACAAGGTGAGACATAAACGGGGCTGTCTTCTAAAGCTTGGGCTTGCAACCGTCTAAGCCTGCAGGAGTCGCCAGCGCTCACTCGGTTGGGCGGGGCCCGCGACTCCACCTCCCGCGTAAGGCTGTCCGGCTCGCTGCCTGACCGAGCAACCTCAGTCGCTGCGGCGCTTCCGCCACCCGCAGACGCACGCGGACATCGCCGGCCAGTCGGAACGCGCTGGATAGCGAAGCTTCTGCGGTTTGGCGGGCGGGCGGCGCGGCCCGGCCGGGGTCCTTGCGGGTCCTCGACCGGCCCGGGGGAGGGCCCTCTTTGTGGCTGCAGTTGGCAAGATGGCGCCGGTGGGGGTGGAGAAGAAGCTGCTGCTGGGCCCCAATGGGCCAGCGGTGGCTTCAACCGGCGATCTAACGAGTGAAGAGGAGGAAGGCCAGAGTCTATGGTGAGGAACGTACAGAGCCACGGATGGCGTGGCCGGGCAGAGAGTGGGCCGGAGCGGGCAGTACGGTGGGCAGACATTGACGGGCCGAGCGGTCCTGGGCGGTCCCGCGCTGACCACTCTTGTCATTGTCGCCGCAGGTCTTCGATCTTGAGCGAAGTGTCCACCCGCTCCAGGTCCAAGCTGCCGTCCGGCAAGAACATTCTGGTGTTCGGTGAGCAGCCGGGTACTGCCCTGGGGCGCCGGGGTGGGCCAGGCAGTGCCCCTCCCACAGGTTCCTGCCATCTCCACCCTTACTGCCTGCTTGTTGCTGGCCGGCCGGGGAGGCTACCCTGAACTCTATCTAGCAGGGCAGCCGGAGAGTCTCCAAGCCCACACCTCTCCTGACCTCCAGAATGCAGGTCCGTTTGGAGTCCAGTGATGTGGCGTGGGCTTGTGGCACATTCCTTCAATCATTGGCTGAGCCTTCAGCCTTGATCCTCTTCATCACTTAGTCTTGTGCTCACCAAGTTGAGGGTGTGGAGAAAGGGAAAAGAGGTTGTGCAGACTGGATGGAGAAGATGGGGGGAACTAGGTGACCTGGGCTGGGAACTGAGAAGTCTCGAAGCCTTTCTTCAGCCCTCGTGGGCTGTTGAGCAGAGACTTAAGGGACTCCCCAAAGGCAACAGACCTTGGGAGTCAACCCTAGGAACTTTCTTGCATTACTTCTGCAGTCACTGCTAGATTGTCAAATCAGTCGTTTAACCTCTCTGGCGTCAGTTATCTCACACAAATGAAAGGGATTAGGTGCATTCACACGTATGCAAAGCTGTTGGGGTTGGGGTGAGGGCTGAGCAGTGGGACAGCACAGCCGAGCATAGACACTCTGCAAGAATCCCAGTCTAGAAGGGTGCAGGTGTGTGTGTGTGGTTGCCCTGCATCTTTCCTGTCAAGAGCAGACTGCTGTGGGTGCATCACACTGCTTGATGTGTTGAAAGAACTTGTAGAGTCGGGTGTTTTGAAGGGTGACTGTTTAGGTACAGGCACATAGATTAGTTCTTTCCTGAGGCTCCTGCTTTTCACAGATTTAATCTTCCTCTACCCTTCCCCAAGCCTTTAAGAAATAACTGCCTGGTGGTTTCCCAGTGTTTCTCTCATCCAGGTAATAGCCACTTTGGTAGGTTATAGCCAGGTATGGGCTTTAGGGAAATAACCGAGGCTGCAGAGTGCTGGGTAGATGAGAATGAGCAGGTGCTGAAATCAGGCTGACACGCACTCACCATGGTCTAGGTGTGTTGTGGCCAGCATGAATCCAAGGGTCTTTAGTAATAGTGGTTCTGTTAGGGGTATTGTGGTGGGGAGGGTGTTGGATATAGATAGTCCAAGGGAGATGAGAAAGTGCTTGGTACTGAGACTATACTTAGGAGTTTTGCTTAGGTCAGTAATTACTTTTTCCCCAGCTTCCAAGGCTTTAGGTACTTGTGAAGATGTTTCAAAATCAAATGCATGTAAATAATATTTATAAACTTCATGATTATGAGGCAGAAGCAGATTTGTTTGTTGGTTTTTCAAAACGGGGTTTCTCTGTGTGGCCCTGATTGTTCTGGAATTCACTGTGTAGACCAGGCTGGCCTTAAACCCAGAGATTTGCCTGTCTCTGTCTCTGCCTCCCAAGTGCTGGGATTAAACCCGGCTCAGAATCAGAATTTTAGTTCAGTGTTCCTAGACTTTTGAAGTTAGTTGTGTTTTGAAGAGTTCTTTCTTTTACTGTGGTAAAGATGTATTTTGTGAGAAATTAGTCCCACCTTTGACGTTCACTTCTCTGTATGTCTGTCTTTGAAACTTAGAGCTAGTGGATTTCCCTTATTCCTTCTCTTGGGACGTTAAGAGAAATGCAGTAGAGGGTTCTTAGGGATCTTGGGGCTGACTGTCTTTGCCTCTCCTGGTCCCTCTTAGAGCAGATTTCCTTTGTTGATGGGAGCTGAGGCCTTAGTGGTAGGCTTGCTTCAGAGTTGTAGTCGTTCCTTATTGTGTTGATGTTATGACTTGCCATCTTTGCCTAGCATGACACGCAGTACATTTTGTCTTCTCGTGAATGTCACTTGTAGGAGAAGATGGTTCTGGTAAAACAACTCTCATGACCAAACTACAAGGAGCAGAGCACGGCAAAAAAGGAAGAGGCTTGGAGTATCTTTACCTCAGTGTTCACGATGAGGACCGGGATGGTGAGTGACGTGTTACTCCATTGTAAAGTGACATGCAGCACTCTGGTTCCTGATGCCTAGACCTTCCCAGCGCTCTGTTAGAGCTGAAGAGATTAGGTGAAATGTTTTTCTTTGCAGGACTTGATTCACTTTTAGTCTGGTTTTGTTTTTTTGAGACAGGGTCTTATGATGTGGCCCTGGAAGGCCTGAAACTCACTATATAGACCAGGCTGGCCTTGAACTCTCAGAGATGCTACTCCATCATAACTCCTTTATAATTTTTCAGGCTTTACAGTCAGATCTTTTAGTGA